TTAATTATTTGAAAATTTGGAACTTTCGGAGCTTCCTTTTGACTTCAGTTTCGACATTAACTTTTTATTTTTGGCGTGCGCCGGAAGATTAGCTGTGCCATCCGGGGAAATGGCACTAACTCACCGGAGAGCCCCATCAATGTCCCCATTGAACGCATATGTCCGGTTTATCATCATAATTCTACTATAAAAATTACAAACCACATCAGAAACTAAAGTTTATCTACGTTAACTCAACTCAGCGCGTGTCCCTAATGGCATCATACTACATCTTCACTGCCTTCTCAAAATTGAGTCCTGGGATTTTAAATTAAGTATCCAATCACCTGAAGTCCTGGGATAGTAAATTAAGTGTCCCAACACTTAGTACTGGGATAGTAAATTAAGTGTGCCGACACCTAGTCCTCGGTTAGTAAATTACGTGTACCAACACCTAGTCCTGGGATAGTAAATTAATGTCCCAACACTTAGTCTAGGGAAGGTAAGAGGGACAATACCTGTGGAATAATGATAAAAAGAGTCATAAAGAGCTCCTCGGGAAATGAATAAAAACTAGGAAATTTAAGTTTTAACTCGGACTGTCAAATATATATTAGCGTGGAATTGTTTTAAAAAGTTTAGACTACTAAGAGAATTGTAGGTTTTCTTTTATTTTGTCGACATTTTACGTTATCAACTGTATATAGCCAGAATTGTAAATAGAGGGAAAGTGTAAAAAAAGATCATGAAGAGAACAAGAGTGTCGTTACCGGAACAAAACGAGGTCGGGCAGAAGCAAAGTTGCCCATCAAGACAACAGAGGCAAAAACTATCAACAGCAAAACCGAGAACAATAAAGAGAAAAGTTTCAGTTAATAAAGTCAACACCCGAAACAACAAGGAACAGACGACTGAAGAAAAACTCACAAAAAAGAGTGCGCCCATCACGGAAGTTGATCTTGAGACGCCGGAACAGAGCACAGATGAAGTGGAAAGAAAGACAACGGATTCCATACCAGTGCCGAAAGTAGAAGAACAACAAACAAAGACAATTGAGTTCTCGTCATTAGACAATGGAAATGAAATCACTGGCAACACACAATAAAAGACAATTTACGAACAAAGAGCACATCCTTCATGGAGAGATTTGCAGCGATGGTCGGGATGAAACCACGAGATAAAGAGGAAGCAACAGCAGCAACCGACAAAAGCAAGACCTTTGGAACGGTTTCCACGATAACAAAAGAGGCTGACCAAGAGAAGGAAAAGGTCACAGAGGGAACAGCGGGTCACCCAGAGAGGCATTTAGCAGAATCGAAAACACCACTAGTTGAGTTGGGGGACTTGATGCTAAAGTTAAAACAGATGGACAAAAAACTAAAATGCAATGAGGAGGACCGCCAAGATAGGAGGAAGGAGCTCCGACATAATAAAAATGTGAAAACTGACAAATACTTTACCTTAGCGAGGGCAACTGAATAGAAGCTACAGCAGATGGCTGGAAGAGTGGAGACAACTGACAAGGAACGTGAAAAACATATTAGGAAAGTTATGGAGGAAATGAAAAGGCGGTATGAAACCGTAAACGACAAATTATCGAACCTGGAGACGAGAATGGACACGATGAGCAGAGACTAAGCAGAAAATTCCTGTGCCATACAGTTTAAATTGGATGCGCTCTTGAGAAACACTATTGCTCAGGAAAAAAGGATAACAGACAACACGGAGAAGCAACCCGGCACAAGGCTGGATTTTGTGGAACCTCAAGGCAACTAACAGGAATCTGATTCATTGCCTCAGATCCATAACTGCATAGGATCAGGGATAACAAAAACCGCAACAAAAGGAGGATTGTCGAACTCATTAAGGATACCAAGGGATTCGGGCACACACACGAGTGTAACACCGGATGCCATGACACGGGTAAATACTTGGGAAATGATGAACAGGACACTTGAAGCATTTGCCACGAGGAACACAGAGTCGAGTGACAGAGAAGGAGGCATATCGAGAAAGACCTTCAAGAAGGAGTTCAAAGGAGTTCAAAGACGAATCGGATGGTTGCGTAGAAACCTGGGTAGAGGTAATGAGACTACATCTTGAGCAAGAAAACTTGAGTGATGAAAGACAAGCATGCACAGCGATACTAAACAATCTGGGGTGCACAGCACTGATGTGCGTGGTAGCAAAGAAGGAAGACTAACGTGACACTGCGGACAAGTTTTTTGAAATTCTGTTGAATCGCTTCGGATCCGGGACGAAGGGGCATCAATCTATGATGAGATTTGTAAAAAAGAGACAGAGAGATGACGAATCGATTAATCGGTTTCTGGCTGTCCTAGAGAGCTATCCTAGAAAAAACGATCCAGAGGAATCGACTGACAGGATAAACTTTAGCATTGCTACAAAATTCATCGATGGGTTGAAAAGTGACGACTTAAGAACAAGTTTGGCCACATACTAGACACTATCAAAAAATAACGCACCAACTCTAGAAGAGATGAGGCAGAAGTCTAGAGAGTTATGTTAATGAAACCAAATAATTAATCATTTTCAGACAGTGGAAATCTGCAAAGGGTGAGTCAACAAAAAAGGTCGACATGGTCGCCAAGAGACGACATGGACAGGCGAAGGTCATGTGCGGAATGTGGATTGGCTGATCATCACGTAGCGTATTGCACCACTTACAAACAAGGGATGAAAAGCTTGGGATATACACCAGATGAAGATGACATGTGTCAGATGGAAGAACATGAGTTCTACAGTAAATTGATCATCAAGATAGGCTCGAGCTGTTTTTTGTGCAGTCAAATAACTCAAATTAAGATGGATTGTCGCCTGTTTTGGGAAGCATTGAAGAATCAAAATCACCCAAATCACAAACTAGCACTTGCCGCTGTGCAAACTACTAGGAAAAGGCAAGCTGAGATTGAGTTGCAGAACAAGGACGTGATAAGTAGTCAGCTATCGACGAAATCAGTGAAGGCAGTGACCAAAGAAAGAGAGATGCCGAGGAGGTTCACTGGCAATAAACTACGAAAAGGCGGCAGCAGAAGCTATTAACAAAAAAGAACAAGACTTAGCGACATAAGAGATCGAACAAAGGCTGAAGCGGGAAATAGAAAGACAGCAAAGAAACGAGAGGCTTTTAGCGGCAAGGTTAGAATCCGAGACAGGCGACCATCTGAAGATCAGGGACCTCTGCAACACCTTGAAATTGGGGAATGGAAAACCCTTTGGGATCACAAAGATTGGGGCGAGAATCATATCAATAATCACCGTCGGCGGCCACCAGATAACAAGGAATCTAAGCGAACCAAGTGATCAAACACTGATGCACATAGATGTATATTCTGACTATTTGCGCACAGGCAGCCCACAGACTCCGCCAAGAGCTCTTAGAGCGTTACTGATGAGAAGTGGCGGAAAATCAATAAGGGTAGACAGAAGATACACGGAAGCCTATCGTCCACACGAGGTCATGCTAAACATAAATACAAAAAATATCTATACGAAGACAATCATAACGTGTGAAAAGGACATTTTAGGTCAAATCTATGTCGGCCGAGAGGATTTCAGGGTGAGGTCGATTGGGCATTGCGCCTTGCTAGTGAAAGACGCCATACACTTGGGAACAGAAGCAGATGTGTCCGCACATGTACTGGATAATTACGGAAAGAGAACCCCATTGAAAGGAATATTGGACACGAGAGCTGTCTTGAGCGTGATACCAGTAGTAACATCATGGAGACGGTTGGGTTTGACAAAGAGGTCTGATAGACTCCGGAATCCGGCGGTCAGCCGCAAACAAAGGGGCGCTAAGGGTCCTTGGAAGAACACCAATAATAGCCTTGCATCTGGAGGACCGCAACTGTGGACGAGTTTTTTGGGTAGTGGAGATCCCAGATGAGTCAGATCAATTCATTTTAGGCAGAGATTTTATGAGAAACTTTGATGTAACGACTGACCTTAACAATGCGATGTTCATGATTCAAACTCCGGAAAGGAACTACGTAATATATTTGGTAAATTTTTTAATGACGAAGGAGAATAAAGCTCCAGTTTTCTTCAGTAGGAGAGTGAGGTTGAAAGCAAAAGAGGCTGCAATAGTAAGTTTGAGAATGAAGAACTATAATGAACTCAGTGAAAAGAAGCAGGTAGGTATAGTACCGAATCCGAATAGCCAAAGTGCTGCTATTTTGGGAAGATCAATGAATACTCTTGATATACCATAGATTTGGAAATTTACAAACCGGTAGTACCAAAAATTGAACACTTAACGGGGAAAACAACAGCTTGAAGCAATCAACGACGTGCTAGATAGGAATCAGGACAATTTTTCTAGACATAAGGCGGAAATCGGGTGTTGTAACTTCGTTGAACATGAAATAGAACTAGAAGAGTAGGCGGTACCGTATAGGGAGGGGGCGAGGCGCATGACCTCAATCATATCGAACGCATCTAGAAAAGAGATAGAAATGTTACTAGAGGATGATATGATAGAGCCATCCAAATCACCGCGGGCGTGTGGAGTAGTGATGGCCAGAAAGAAAGGAGATCAACTGAAATTTTGTGGTTACTTTCAATGTCTGAACTCCGTCACGGTGAAGGTTGCCTATCCCATACCGAGAATAGGTAAAAGCCTTTCAAATTTGGGGGATGCAAAATTTTATTACAACTCTTGATCTGGGGTTGGCTTTTTGGCAAATACCACTTAGGAAACAAGACAGAGGCAAAACTGGGTTCGCTTGCGAGCTGGGACTGGTCCTATGGAAGAGGATGCCCTTTCACCTGTGCAATGCAACAGCCACATTTCAGTGATTGATGGCATAGGCATTAACAAGTGTAACGAAGAATTATGGTAACTTGGTTATGTGGACGACGTGGTGATTGCGACGCCAATTCTTGAGGAGCACATCGAGCGACTGGACGAGGTACTTGCACGCAGGAAGAGGGCAGGATTGAAATGTAAACCCTCGAGATATGAAACCTTGAAAGATTCGATAAAATACCTCGGGAGAATGGTAGACAAACGTGGCATCCGACCAAACCCAAATGCGGTAGAAGCAGTTCCGACTTGGAAGTTACCGAAGACTGAACATCACTTGAGGAGCTTTCATGGTTTCGCCAAATACTACAAAGAATTCATCAAGGGTTACACGGACAATGTATATCCGATGCAGCAGCTCATGAGACTCAAAGGCAAGAAACTCATGTGTAACAATGCTGCGAAGGAATCATTTCAGAGCATAAAAAAAGAGTTATGTGAAGCCCCTGTATTAGGCATGCCTACGGTGAAAGGCACGTACGTCCTAGATACAGATGCATCGGTGGTTGCGTCTCTGGCACACTCCACCAAGAACAAAAATAGAACGGCAAAACTGTCTTGAGACCAATAACATACGGAAGCAAAGTCTTGAGCGACACGGAAATGAAGTACGGGGCACCCAAGGCGGAAATTTTTACGGTAATCACCTTCGTGGAAAGGTACAGGGCGCATCTGGGATTTGAGCCATTTAAACTACGGGTCGACAACAGGGCACTCTCTTGGCAGAAAACGTACTCAATGGACCAAAGTTACATGGAGAGATGGGTAGTGCGACTAGATGATTACATCATGATAATTGAGCACAGGAAAGGGATAAGCACCAAAATACCGGCAGCTTCAGTAAGAAAACGGAATTCTACGAGTGGCAAGAGCAGAGGGAAGCTAATATGCCTGAAATAAGAGATTGATTTTCGTTCATGGACAAGGAAACATATGAAGTTTACCACTCAAGAGATGGCTCGACAGGTCAGGTAAACCGATCGGAGATCACCCTGAATTACCCACCGAGCACTCACTAAAAAGACAAACAGGGAAGCCGGTGTAAATTCTGCTCTAGTCAAATCTAGTCAGAGATACGTTGAAGGCGAAAGCAATGGTAGGACAGGATATAATGAGATTGCTTCAGAAACTGGCCGACATCAAACCCGTGGACTCAAGCAGGAAGGATGCTTATCCAGAATTCACATCAATGAGAAGGACAATAGTGGGCTTGCGTGACCAAACTCATTGAAGAATGAAGATATGGAGAGCAAAGAGGTGGTACGGACACTAGGCGAGAAGATTCAGGAGGAAATACTCAAGCAAACAACGCTACGGAGGAAAAAAGTGCCGTTTCAAGAGGAAGCTGAAGAACTCGGACTAGATCAAGAATTCGGGGAGTGACTGTTGAATGGCAAGGCTGCTCTCCGAAAATTAGCTCTCCGAAAATTTGTCCGGAGAGCTAGAAAAATGGGACGAGAACTCGTTTATCGAATCTTCCATCAAGGGTTACGCGGACAAGGTACATCCGATGCAGCAGCTCATGAGATACAAAGGCAAGAAATTCATGTGTAACAATGCTGCGAAGGAATCACTTCAGAGCATAAAAAAGAGTTATGCTCTTTCTTATGCTCTGACAGAACATTATTGGTGGAACCATGGAAACTCCTCAAGTGATGTTCAGTCTTCGATAACTTCCAGGTCAGAAATTCTACAAGACAGTTTGTGCACGATATTATCACAAGAAAAAAGAAGAAATCAGGACAGGGAAATGCATATGGACCCCTCGTCTGAGACATACAACCTGGACCATGACGAAATGGAAGGAGGAGAAAAACCAGAGATGATAGCAGTGTTGAGGAAAGCATTCAGGGAGTTTTTGTGCAGCTCAATCATCATAACGAATATCGAGCCGGAATGTGATAGGAATAACTTGGACAGAATAGTGTATTTCAAGCTAGGAGATGACACTCACAATCCAGGAGAACTGACCAGGTAAATGATGGCACTGGAAGAGCATGTGAAGGCAAGGTACTGGTTATCAGACTTGATACGGGCGCAGAAGAATGACAAGATGACTAGCCACCTCTCCAAATGGATCCGAATGGGAGTAAAAGAGAAAATAGATCTGGAGGAGGACAGCTACAAAATCTTGAGCCAGTTCTACAAGGAACGGCAGGGTTTATTCTACCAAGCAGCGGATGGATTAGTGGCTTGCAAAATAAGAGATGAAGAGATAATTTTGCACAAACATAATCTCATCATACTACCACAGCTATATCAGACGGAGGGACTTTTTAGATAACACGACCAAATGGAACATCAAGGAATAGACAAAGTGCAAGAAATAATACTGCACCGGTTTGAATGGCCAGGAATGAGGAAAGCTATTGAAAGATGGGTCATGATTGCAAGGGAAAGATCCAAAGAAAATAAAACTCCTTCTCATATCGGTGGAAAGCTCAGAAACGAACGAGGTCGTGCAGATAGACCATCAAAAGATGTGCCTGACGGAATCTGGATATAACCAGATGCTGTTAGTCATAGATCACTTCAAGAAACTAGCAGAAGCAGGACCATGTCAGACGGCCTCGGCGGAAGAAACTTGCGATCACTTGATCACACATTGGATATCAAGATATGGTTTCCCAATGACCTTTAAATCAGACAACAGGGGAAGGCCTTGGTTGGGGATTTGACTAAATAGCTGATGAGGAGATCTCACATTGCCAAAGCACACTCGACAACTTACCACCCACAGTCGACTGGACTAGTGGAAAGGCAGAACAGAACATTAGTAAACATGCTTAGAGTATACAGCTCGAGGTATATGACGGACTGGGACAAGTACTTGCCGCAAGTGGTGGGAGCATACAACAGCACACAACACTCATCAACGGTGATCAGTCTTTTCATGACGCTAGCAAGCAGGGAGCGAGCAATCCCATTGATGTTTATCCGCCCAGAATACGAGGGAGAGAAGACATGACCGCAGACTTACGTGAAGGAAGCCATCAAGAGACACAAAGAATTGAACCAATTGTGCACGAGGAACACAGACCAAGCACAGATGAGACAACGTGCGAAAACACTGTGGGACAATAAGTCTGGGTGTTCCAGAATATCCTTCCTTTAAAGGGAACGAAGAAGTTATTGAAGAAATGGAGAGTTCCTTTCTTGGTAACAGAAGTGCACCAGCAGGGTCGGTTCTACCGGTTGAGCACAGGACACGCCGCACACTATGAAAATCTGAAGCCTAATGTCCCGTCACCGAAGATTGGTGCGTGCCACAATACATGGAAGGACTTGAGTATCTAATCGTGGAACTGGCATGTCAGGTGAACGAGAAGGGCACCAGGGAGGAAAACGATGGGAACGAGAACACGAGTATGGATGGCAATGAAAAGATGGTGGTCCACTCTTTCGCAAAGCTCTTTCGCAAAGAAGGATCGGAACGAACCGGAGCAGAACGAGGTGTCGGAATGGACAGAACCAGACAAGCCCATGACCCTGGAGACAATAAAGGCGGGCGCAATAAGACTAGCATGAGGTAAAATAGATGTGGTGATGCCTCCCTGGTTGAAAAGATAAAACCGGATGAGATAGGGGCAGATATGGTAAGCATGTGTGACATAGTGTCGGATAAAGAGTGGCAGATCATCAACGACAATGAGAACTCCAGAAGAGGAACACAAAATAACCAAAAAGTTGACATATCAGCTGGGAAGTACACAAAAGAGACAAACTCGTTGTTTGACTGGACAGCAACAGATCGTCCGTTACACATACCAGCAGATAACTTAAACTCGGCACCATCGACGTGGACGTCGATAATTAATTTGTCCGGGGATTGGGGGTAGGACTTACCCACACCGAAAACTGAATGATCAAGAAACTCAGGGAAATGAGAGAAACCAACGGACTGGAATTACATATAGAGGAAGTTGAGCCTACCATTAGAAGGAAATTCAAAACCAAGTTCGAAATACCAAACGAGTACTCGGAGAACATCCTGATCACGGACAGCGACTTCATCTTGTCAGATAGGAACCGTGCGACTGACTGTCAACACCAGACTAGAGGCCGATTTTAAAAGAGAACCAAAATGTGGAGTTTCTATTCAGTTTCACAAGTACCTTTTGCATGACCTTCAAAATAAAGTGTCATTCAAATTGTAAAGTGCTAAAAGGTATACGGATCTGCATAATTTTAACATCTAATTGAATCATTTTATCAAAGACGGTTTAGATATGTTTATAGAAGCAAAAGGGGGATTCAGCTTTGTTTTCAGATTGATTTTGATTGATAACCGACAAGAGTCAAACTGTCGTATACGGAATTCAAGAGCAAGACTATCAGTCAGAATTCAGCAGTAACCGCCAAAAAACAGTATTTCTTGAGTATTAAACTGGAAAGGTACTTCTTGTGTGTTGAATTGGTAAGGTACTTCTTGAGTGTTGACCTGGAAAAGTATTTCTTGAGTGTTGAATAACTGAAATATTGGGCACCGGTTGGGAGAAAGGGTTGATTCTAGAGACCGCTCGGCGAGTAGCAGGAGTATACAGCCGGGGCCGATGCCCCTGGAGAAATTTGGGAAGGAGCTTGGTCATGTCATTGGTTGTGATAGTGGAGAAAGATCAAGGTGGCAAGAAATTGGCAGAAGGCCTATGAGAAGTTAGCGAAGCTAGGTATCTGGAACGAGTGAGAAACCTAGATCTGGATGATCTGGCCTGCAGGCGAGAAGTAATGGAAACCCGGGAACTCAAAATCTTGTCTCATGAGGACCTAAAAAGTAACTATTGTGTGGGCTGGTTGAAATTGCATGAAGAACACTTTTCTTGAGAGAAAATTTTCGAGATAGCGGATTTAACTTGAATTCCGAAGATAGCGATCTTTCGTCCCGTTAATTATCGACCCTTAAGTAGCTGGAAAAACCAGGCCTGATTGCTGAGCCACCGGAACACCGCACGGGCATAGCTAGAATCAGAGTAGCGATTCCTGTACAATTGAGAGCGGTAGAGAAACTTCTTGGCCCCAAAAGTGTGGGACTTCCCGACACTGCTTACATGGGCCCAAAACTGGCGGAGGACCCACGATATGGGGAACTTTATGGAACTTATTAGCTGGCCAAGGCACTGGCTGCCTAGGATCGTTCAGACACTGGAGCCGCGAAAGTGCTGATCGTCGCAGGATCGGACTTCTCTGGGACATCACGGAAATTTTAACTTTTATCGTGGCGATGAAGTCTGAGACACCTTGTGAACATGAGTGGCTGTTGTTTGCGCAAATGAATGATCACCTGCATGCAACCGGTCTATTGGAGCCCTTGATGACTGGAGAGCCAACACCGAAAAAGATCTGGGAAGCAATTCAGATGTTGTTCGCCTCGATGAACGAAATACAGGAATTGGTGGCCTCTCGATTGGTGTCGATGACAAAGGTGGTGTTCGCTTCATCACCAGGGTACTCGAGCATGCCACCCGCCCTCCAATCTGTGTATGCGATGTTGGTCTTGACCGAGGAGGGCAATGAATTGCTTATATTGATGGCAGCTCCGAATCGAGAGCTTCCACCGGTGAACTT